CCCCCCGCCTTTCTCGGTACTGGGAGAACCAAGGAGCACTTTACCACTGAGCCACATCCCCGACCTTTTTTATTTTTCATTTTGAGACACTGAGTTGCTTAGGGCCTCACTAAGTTGCTGGGGCTGGCTTTGAACTTGCAATCCTCTTGCCTCAGCCTCTTGAGTCACTGGGATTACAGGCATATGCCACTGTATTTGGCCAAGAGCAGCCCTTAAAAAATATGGGAGACCCTTCTGCTCAACCCACATCACTTTCTCCCCTCAGTACTTCCCCTGGAGAGGCAGCTCCATGAGGCTGCCCAAAAGAACAACATTGGGAGGATGAAGGAGCTGATGGGGAGGAGGGTTAACATCCGGGCCAGAAATCACGTAAGTAATGGCTCCCACAAGGTGACAGCATCACACAGGGGGACAGTACATTGAGCTGGAGACAGACGCTTTGCATGTGCTAATTTGGCGGGAGGTACGGGGTCTGCATCCTCTTGAGGTCTCTGAGACTCTGGAGTGGTAGGGATTAAGGTCAGGATGCTGTTAGGCAATTCCAGAGCTCCGACTCTGAATCCTGGTTACCCATCAGAAAGACACACCTAGGACAAAGGCTAGAGCCACAGAAGGACAGGGGGCTGAAGGTCAACAGTCAGGGGCTGGCCCATGGGCAGCAAAGTGCAGGTTCCGGGAGGGACAGAGGCCCAAGGGAATGCTGCATGCAGGAGTTGGGGAGACATAGCCTTGTTGGTGAAGGGGACAAGAGGGAGAAGCCATTCTTTCTGTGGGGGACATGAGGGACAGACACCTCCCTGCCTTGGGAATTCTGACTGTCAGGAACTTCTTGGAGAAGATGCCAGGTCCTGGCTAGAAGGAGTAGATGCAGGATTCCTGACTGCAGAAAGAGGTCACATTATATGGGGTGACATGACAGGTGCAGCCTGGGGCACATAATGGTAACAGGAGTTCTGGGATGTATCTATTATATCTTGGTTTTCAGAGCACTTGTCCTCTTCCTTCCTAGTGGTCTTCACTTATCACTGTTCCCTGGAAGTGATAAGGAGGCCAGGAAGTACTAGCCCTGTGTATAGTCCAAAGCAGTGCAGCGGGCCACAGGTCACTTTAGGTCATACAGCATGTTGTTGGTGACTGAAACCTTGGTCTCAACATGCAAGGAAGCATGACCTTGTAGGATGATAGGATGCCAGCGCCACATTCACTAATTCATTCCTTCTTTTGCACACTCATTGGCTCATTCATTCATTCATTAAGTTATTTATTAAGGCGTACTCTGCTCAGCCCTGTGCTAGTGCTACGGACAGAGTAGAACCCATGACAGACATGGTTCTTGCCCTGGTGGAGCCAATGGGCTGATGGGGAGGACAGACACTAAGCAAAGCATCTTAAAGTCCTTTCCCACTGTGAAAAGCTGTCCTGAGAGCACTGGGAGAAGGGTCAGAGGGGGTTTGCCCACCTAGAGGGGTCAGGGCAAGCTTCCAGGAGCCAGGTGAGGAAGGGCACTGTCCAGGCAGAGGGAAGAGCATGGGAAGAAGGAAGGAAGGAACAGCCTGTCCCCCAGGGAGGAGATGTGACTTGTCTGAGATCACACAGTGTTTCCTTTCATTGTCCCCCTCATAAGCTGAGGGGACAGTGCTGCAGAAGGCAGGAGCAGACTCTGGGTGGGAAACTGACCACCCTCAGCCAGCTCAGATGTGCTGAGGCCACAGCCCATGATGAACCTGCAGGGTAGTCTGAGAATGAGGTGGGCAGTTAGGCCCTTTCAGCCCTATTCTGAGGGAAGAACCCCAGGCACTCGGGATGGAGGCCTTGGGGATTTGGGGAATAATTCAAGTTCAACTAGCAGGAACAAAGGTCTAGCGGTGGGAATTTGTTTGGCATTTTTGAGGAAGCAGTGGTGTACATTGCCAGGCCACGCACAATCCTGTAGGCCCTAGAGTTAGGAGTCTGTCCCAAGAGCAGTGAGAAGCTGTGGAGACTTTTAGGTGGGGACAGAAGCACGCAGTCATTGTGTCTTACTGTGTTTATTTTGCCTTCTGCTGTGTCAGGGACAGTGGGGCTAAAGTGGGGCTGGGTCCTCAGCCAGATGGTCACCAGAGCCAGCAAAAGGCCCTTTCAGCCTGCAGACCAGTTTTCCTGGTGGGGCAGGTGTGGAGGGCGACAGTGATAAGTTTCCTCTCCCTCCTGCAGGTGGGCAGGGTGGCCCTGCACTGGGCTGCGGGTGCAGGGCATGAGCAGGCCGTGCGGCTGCTCCTGGAACACAAGGCTGCTGTGGACGATGAGGACACGGTAGGGGTCCCTCTCGGAAGCGTGTCTGTGTGTGCTTGTCTGTCTCAGGCTAGGGCAGAGATCCCAGGATCTCTCTGGGTCTGTGTAAGCCAGTTGTAGTTGCTGAGATTGTCACTGATATGCAGGTGCTCAGTGGGGAGTCAGCTTCAGGGCCTAGTGAAACCACATCAATTCTATTTTTCCCTTGCACAGTGATAAAGAGCTCTCCATTGTCAAGGGCCTTTCAGTTCTAAGAGCCTTTCTCAGTCCCTTATGATACCATGAGGACAGGGAGAGCTGTGGGCTATAGAACAGATAATTGGGTGTTGGTAAAGGCCAATAAAAGTCACCAGGAAGAAGGTCTGTCATGGCAGGACACAGCCCTGCCCTGGCTAACACTTTAACCAATGACTCGCATAGAGACTAATGGTCTTACTGAGAAAATGAACAGCAAGCACCATTGTTGAGAAAAAGAAAGCACTGAAGGCTAACATCTGCAAAATTAGCTCTACAGGTTTGAGGATCCAGCTGAATCTGATAATGACATTTCCTAAGAATACATTTAAGGACCTAAATTTAAGGATGGGGGTGTAACTCAGTGGTAGTGCGCTGTGCAAAGCCCTGGGTTCAATCCCTCATATTGGTGGTGGTGGTGGAGCGGGTGTGAGGAGAGAGAATTAATATAAATTTAAATTTTCTAAAAAGATCATAAATTTGCCTGCAGAGATTTAGTTGTCCATGGAAACACTGTTTTTTGTTTTTGTTTTTTCAGTGCTAGAGAGCAAGCCCAGGGCCTTGTGCATGCTAGGCACGTACTCTACCACTGAGTTACGTTCCCCAGCCCCCTTTTTTTTTCTGAGACAGGTTCTTGCTAACTTGCTGAGGCTGGCCTTGAGCTTGCAGTCCTCCTGTCTCAGCCTCACAGGTAGTTGGGCATCTGGAAATACTTCTTTCCTTTCTGGCTTCTCTCTGGTCCCAGGTCCCACCATGAGGGGGACTTGATTACTAGCTGAGGTTGGGGTGTGGCAGCAATATCTCTCCTCCCCACAACCCTAGCCCCATTTCCAAGAGAAGACCCAGAAGTGATGTGGTCAAGACTGTCCTCACCATGCAGGGCCCCTAACATGGCTGAGGTCCCTGGAGATGACCTTGGAGCACTCAGAAGTGGAGTTAAAGCAGCCCTCAAATGGGTGATCAACCTATTTCCAGCTGCTGAGAGGGACCACGGGGTGAAAGGGGCCAGAGTGCCAACTGCAGGGCAGGGCTAGGAGTGTCTGACAGCGGTGTCTGACCGTGTGTGGCTGTCTTGTGAGGCAGGTAGTGCTGCACACAAAGCCATCACCTGGGGGATGTTCTAGGAAGATTTCAACAGTGATTCTCAGGCTCAGTCCTGGGTGAGGTCTTCACCAGCCATCAGGTCAGACAATATGGACAAAATCGTATGCTTTTGATGACTCTGGATTATAATGAATGTATTCTGAGGTTGGCTCCTTTCATATTTTTAAAAAATGGTTCTTCCTTATAGAACAATGATGAGAGTAGATGGTAGCTGTTTCATTTTTAGATTTGATCTAGCAAAATAATCCCCCAAAATTCCTGGTCTTTAAGTTCCTAAAGCTTGGTGCTCTCTGTAACTGAATGGCACTTACAGTCCTTATGGTTGTATGGTTTGGCCATGTAGATGCAGGGCCCCAGGTGGCATGGCCACGCCTCCTTATTCTCTTTACCTCTCTGTCCTTTCCCCCAGTTTGGGATGAACGCGCTTCTCCTGTCTGCCTGGTTTGGTCACTTGCGAATCCTCCAGATCCTGGTCAACTCTGGGGCCAAGATCCACTGTGAGAACAAGGTAAGACCCAGCCCACAGCCCCTGCCCTCTGAGGTTGGCTCCCCCTGACCCCAGACACACAGATCTGCTCTCAACTCTGTCCCTTCCTGCCTCTGCAGCTCCCAACTTGCCCCATTCTCTGAGAACCCCCCCCCGCCCCCCCGCCCCCGTCAGAAGCTGTGCTGAGCTCATTCCAAGCTGGCTGCTTCCCCTGGGGCTTGGGAGAAAGGTCTGGAGGAGCTTCCAGTGTTTTCAGCAGCAGCAGCTGCAACAGCAGGGAAAGTGACAGGCTTTTTCTTTGGTTCCCACACCTCTTACTACTTTGTAATGCTGGGACAATCCCCAGCCCTCTGGTTGGCCTCCTTATTTATAGGAGAGAAGTCAACAAACACCCCCCCCCAGGGTAATTTAGGAGGATGAACAAAAAGGGAGGTGGGTTCACCTCCACCCTCCTCCCTTGTGCTCAGTGGTGGGATGGAAGGACCCCATTTACCAACCCCGGGACTTCGAGTGAGTTACTTTATCGGCCTGAGCCTCAGCTTTCCTCTTAGGAATGGGGATGCTCTCTCTCTCTCTCTCTCTTTTCTTTTTAATATTTATTTTTTAGCTTTAGGTGGACACAATATCTTTATTTTATTTTTATATGGTGCTGAAGATTGAACCCAGTGCCTCACACATGCCAGTCGAGTGCGCTATTACTTGAGCCACATCCCCAGCCCCCGGGGATGTTCTTACACCTTGGAACTGTAGGAGAAGCCAGCACAGCGCTGCATATGACATACAAGATTGGGTGCTGGCACCCTAGGGAACCCAGCAGCCCTCATGGCTCACTGGTGTGTGTGTGGTTTCAGGGAGGAGGGCCCCAGCAGGTCAGAGTGCGGGGAACCCTCCCCTGGCCTCTTACCTTTTAGAGTGCTGCTGGCCCTTCAGGAAATGCAAATATCTTCTTATTCCAAATGCTTTTGGCCAGGAATTCTCAAACATGGGTCCTTGGAGAGAATTCAGAGGACCTATAAAGTTGGATCCAAAAAAGTGCATATTTATTTTCATTAATGTCTACTTGAAAACCTAAAATTTCTTTCAATGAAAGAAAATGTAGTTGTTTTCATATTAATTAAAGTCTTTGCAGTTATATTAAAATACTCCTGGGCTGGGGCTGAGGCTCAGCAGTAGAACACTCCTCTCACATGTGTGAGGCCCTGGGTTTGATCCTCATTACCCCATAAAGATGAATAAAATAAAGGTATTGTATCCATATACAACTAAAAAAATATTTTAAAAAATACTCCTTACATTCATCATTACTTTAAAATTATGGTGGTAATCAGACTCTTTTTTTTTTTTTTAAGACAGAGAGAGAGAGAGAGAGAGAATTTTCAATATTTATTTTTAGTTTTCGGCGGACACAACATCTTTGTACGTGGTACTGAGGATCAAACCTGGGCCGCACGCATGCCAGGCGAGTGCGCTACCACTTGAGCCACATCCTCAGCCCCAATCAGACTCTTTACTAATGGTATTGTTTAATGTATCAGTAAAGAAACAAATGTTACTAGATTGAAAACTGGTTCTTAATATTTTGATAACTATATTTCAGTGAAATTGGTTTTCTCTTATGACAGGCAGAATAATGCCCCCCTACAAAGATGTCCATATATTAATCCCTAAAACCTGTGAACCCCAGAGCCTAACACGACAAAAAGAATTTTGCAAATACGATTAAAGTAAAGACCTTGAGTTAGGGAGATTATCTTGGATTATCCACAGGGGTCTAATGCATACACAGGGGTCCTTGTAGGGGAAGGAGGGAGGAAGCAGGGAGTCAGGGGAGGGTGTGATGAAGGAAGCTGAGATTTGGGTGATGCAGGTCATGACCCAAGGGATTTAGGTAGCCTGTAGGAGCTGGAAAGGGCCAGGAAACAGATTCTCCCCAGAACTTCCAGAGGAAATGTAGTCCTGCCAACCAATTTTAGACTTTTGATCTCAGAACTATAAGAAAATAAACTTGTGCTATTTTAATCCACTAAGTTTATAGTAATTTGTTATAGCAGCAATAGGAAACTAATACATCATTGTAAGCCTATGTATTTGATTAAAATTTTTTTCCCAAATGATTTATTTAAGAAAACATTATGCTAAGAAAATTCATAGGCTTCACCAAGTGCCAAAAAGGGCCATGGCACATATGAAATCTGGCTCAGGCTATTGTCAGGATCTTGCCAGTGGCAGTGGGCACAACTGACAACTTCTGGGAAGGATATTCCTGGGTCACAGGATCGGAGCTGGAGTGTGGGAGTGGGGAGCCTCAGAAGAGCGCCCTGGGAAGATACCCACATTGGAGCTCAGTGTCCTCCTGTCTAGTCCTGCCTGCCTGGCCCAGCATGGCCTCAGAGGAGCTCAGTAGCCCTGGAGAGTCCAGTGGCTGTCCTGATAGATTTGCTGGAGTTGTAAATGGGAGCCTCAGTATTCTAGAATGGGGGGTGTCTTGGTGTATATGGAGGATGGGGTTCTGAGTAATGAGTTCTTCTAGTCAAGCAGATCCCCTCTATTTTATGTTCTGGTTTTGGCAACAAATCTATTTAAAACGTAATGTCTTAAAGCAATAAGGACTTCTTATTCTGAGGCTGGCTGGAAAGTTCTGGCTTTGCCTGGGCTCCCCCATGAGGTTGCAGGTAGCGGGCAGGTGGTTGAGGCTGGCTGGCTCTAGAGGATCTCACCCACGTGTCGGGGCCTCTGTAAGGAAGGTTGGGATGTTTAGAGTAGTGACCCAGTTTCTTTTCTTTTCTTTTTTAATTGGTTGTTCAAAACATTACAAAGCTCTTGACATATCATATTTCATACATTAGATTCAAGTGGGTTATGAACTCCCAATTTTACCCCAAATACAGATTGCAGAATCACATCGGTTACACATCCACATTTTTACATAATGCCCTATTAGTAACTGTTGTATTCTGCTACCTTTCCTATCCTCTACTATCCCCCTCCCCTCCCCTCCCATCTTCTCTCTCTACCCCATCTACTGTAATTCATTTCTCTCCTTGTTTATTTTCCCATTCCCCTCACAACCTCTTATATGTAATTTTGTATAACAATGAGGGTCTCCCTCCATTACCATGCAATTTCCCTTTTCTCTCCCTTTCCCTCCCACCTCATGTCTCTGTTTAATGTTAATCTTTTCTTCCTGCTCTTCCTCCCTGCTCTGTTCTTAGTTGCTCTCATTATATCAAAGAAGACATTTGGTATTTGTTTTTTAGGGATTGGCTAGCTTCACTAAGCATAATCTGCTCTAGTGCCATCCATTTCCCTGCAAATTCCATGATTTTGTCATTTTTTAGTGCTGTGTAATACTCCATGGTGTATAAATGCCACATTTTTTTTATCCATTCATCTATTGAAGGGCATCTGGGTTGGTTCCACAGTCTAGCAATTGTGAATTGTGCTGTGACCCAGTTTCTCCAGGTGGTCACTGATCTTCACCTTGCCCAGCCTGGACTTCCTGTATGGCTGCCTTGGGGCAGAAAAATAGCAAGAGCAGAAGAGGCAAGGTCTCTTGAGACCAAGGCTGAAAAGCCACATGACATCACTTCTACCATTGTCTGTGGGCCAGAGCCCATCAGGACCAGCCTAGGTCCAAGGGAAGGAAAATACTGACTTGGATTCTTGATCTCTTGATGAGAAGGGTAGCACAATTCTACATTTTAAAGTAGTTTAGGATATATTAACATTTCACCTGCTTTTTATTAACATCCTATAATGCATTTAGTCATCTTACCTGTTTAGTGTCTTCCAATTTTGTGGCAACTTCTCAGCTTTTTTTTGCTTTCCATGACCTTGGCATATTTGTAGCAGTCAAGTGTTTTGTAGAATGCCTTTCAATTTGGGTTTATCTGATGTTTTCCTCATCATCAGTCTTCACTTATAAATTTGAGCTAAAGGCCACAGAGCAATGCCCTTCTCATCTTGTCTTACTAGGGGCTTTGTGATACCAACATTACTTATCACTAGGGATGTTGACCTTGATCCTCTGGTGAAGGTGGCATCTGGTAGGTTTCTCTACTGTAAAGTCAGCATTTTTCCCTTTTCATGCTCTATTGTTAGGATCTTTTTTGTGGTTTTAATTTGCATTCCAATAATGACTAATAATGTCAGGTAATTTTTCAAATGTAAATTTGCTATCTCCTTTCAAAATAATAAAACACCAAGGTGGTGTTCTTATTATTTTGAAAGGACTGATCCGGTTTCTTATCCTTTATATGCCTTTTTTTTTTTTTTTTTTTTTTAGTGCTGGAGATTAAGCCCAAGGCCTCCCTCAAGCTAAGCAAATGCTCTATCACTAACCTATGCCCCTAGCCCATTCCACCCACTTTATTTTTTGGTACTAGGGAACCCAGGGACACTTGAACCCAGGGACACTTAACCTATAAGCCACATCTCCAGCCCTTTTTATTTTTCATTTTAAGACAGGGTCTCTCTGAGTTGCTTAGGACCTTGCCAAGTTGCTGAGGCTGGCTTTGAACTCTAGATCCTCCTGCCTCAGCCTCCTGAGTCACTGGGATTACAAGTGTGTACCACTACGTCGGCCTTGTTTTTAAATTTGATTTTGAAGCAAAGTCTCCCTAAATTGCCCAGGCTGGCCTCGAATCTGAGATCCTCTTGCTGTAGCTGCCTACATAGATGGATTACAGGTGTGTGCCACAGGTATTTGCGTGCGTGTGAGAGATAAATGAGATTTCTGTATTGCTCAGGCTGGTGTTGAACTCCTGGGCTCCAACAGTCCTCCCAACTTGTAAGTGTGGGGACTCAGCACTCAGGCACTTCCACAGCCAAATTATTTTTAATTGGATTGTTTAATTCCTCACTGGTGAATTTTTAGAGTTCTTTATGTGTTTTGGATACATTTCAAAGTAAATTCAACGCACTTCCCTCTAAATACTTCAGCAAGCATATCATTGGAATTCAGTTTCTTTATATACAGTGAAATACACAAATAAAAAAGTATACTCACTGAGTTTTGACGCCATGAAGATGTAGACGATTGTTCTGTTGATTTTTATGACCCATTGATGGACTGCAATCTACTATTTGATAAACAATGTTCCAAATAATCTGGCTTTGGTGCAGGCAGGGGTAGGAGCTCTGGGTCATAAGCATAGAATTTGCAATCTCTCTCATTTAAATATTGCTTTTGAACTCAAGAGACCTTCCTGCCTCTTCCCTCCCCCTAACCAGGCCACTTCCTCTAGTTCCTGCACACCAGAGGTCAACTCCTAGTGACCTGAATACAGGGAGCCCTTAGTCACTTGCTTCTTCATTTGTAACTCTATGAAGGGAGACAAAGGCCTAGAACATTCTCAACTATTCTGTGGGGGATGTTTTGGGAACAGTGAGTGCTGTATGACCTCACCTTACATTTAAAAATCATTTTTCAGTTATAAAATACTTTTCCTGTAGGCAATGCCAAGTAGTCCTCTAACCCGATCATCCTAATTGACTTGTGCCCAAATGGAGGCTCAGAGAGATAGAAGCAACGGGCCCAAGACCACAGAGCTGATGGGTGTGATGCTGGAGTTTGACCTCTGGCATCCTTATTCCTACCAGCCCAGCTGAGGCTGAGTGGCTGCCCCAGTGGGTCAGCCTAGGGCCACTCCTGATTTACCATGTGGCTTCCATGGGAAAACCTGGTTCTGGGAGACAGGCAGGCATGCCAAAGGCCTCCCTTTTCAGACTGCAGGGCCCACCCTGGGCTTGTTTCCAGGACGGCCTGACTCTGCTGCACTGCGCAGCCCAAAAAGGCCATGTGCCTGTGCTGGCGTTCATAATGGAGGACCTAGAGGATGTAGCCCTGGACCACGCGGACAAGGTGAGAATGGCAAGGCCACTCCTCCCTCCTATGGGCTGGGGCTCCTGGAGCCACTTGTGCCCTAGAGGCTTACTGCACTCTGGAGTGCATCCTTTGATCTGTGGGTGACTGTGTCCCACCTGGAGTACTGGTCTGGGGGAGACCTCAGGGCACAAATGGGTGGGATAGAAGCAGAACATGAGCAGTTGCCTCAGAAAGGCCCTGGCAAGGACTCGACAGGGCACAGAAGGGAGCCTTGCTGCTGTGTCCTGGAGAGGGTGGCATTGAAGGAGTTGGATTTGGGGTAAGATTGGAAGGCATGGGGAGCCCCAGAGTTCAGATGGACTGGAATTTTGGGAAGGAAGGTGGGTTGGGGTGAGATGGGAGGGATGGGGAACCCCTTGTGGAGATATACACCCCAGTCTTAGGAATCTGTTCTTCATTTAGTAGGCAGCAGGGAGCCACCAAAGGATTGCAGTGGGAGACCCTCCCCACAAGTGGCCCTTGTTGGGAAGTGAGGTCCAGGCTTTTCCATGCAGGATGTGTGGGGCAAGGGGCAGTAAGGGGGAGAACATCTGGACAGGAGAGGCCACTGCAAGCCCAGAGAGGTAGGGAAACAAAGGCCAGTGGGCAGAATGGGCATGCCCACTGACAGGGTGAGGAAGGTCACTCTCTCTCTCGTCCTGGCCAGCTGGGAAGGACGGCGTTTCACAGGGCTGCTGAGCACGGGCAGCTGGATGCTCTGGACTTCCTCGTGGGCTCTGGCTGTGACCACAGTGTCAAAGACAAGGTACTGTGACTGTGAAGTCTGGGCTTTGACCAGGATGCAAAACCTCCTGCTACCTTCCTGACTCTGGCACCTCACCTATGTCGTCATTGTTCTCCTCCTCCTCCTCCTCCTCCTTCTCCTCTTCTTCTGGTACTGGGGATTGAACAGGGATACTCAACCACTGAGCCTCATCCCCAGCCCTATTTTGTATTTCATACAGAGACAGGGTCTCACTGAGTTGCTTAACATCTCACTTTTGCTGAGGCTATCTTTGAACTCGCCGTCCTCCTGCCTTAGCCTCCTGAGCCACTGGGATTACAGGCGTGTGCCACCGTGCCCCGCTTCCTGTGCCTACTTCTGACTCCAGCTGTGCTGGGGGGCAGTATCCAGAGACAGATCAGAGTGTGTCTGATGTTCACCCAGCAGGCACTTCAGTGCACATACTGTGGTCCACCCTGTGCTATGGGCTGGGCCACAAATATGGCCAACATGCAGTTTCTTATTGGAGGAAATCCATACCATAGTCCTAGGAAGGGGCTGTTATTCTGTCAGGGAATCAGAACAGCAAATCTGATTGGTTGGTGGTGCTGTCTGGAGGGTGTTGAGCAGGATTGTTGTTCCAGGGTGTCTACTGTTGGGATGTGGGGAGGAGATGGGGGGTGGTAGCCATGCATCTGCATTTATGCTCTGCCATGGTTGTGGCAACATAGAATGGGAGCAGTTCACTCAGGGTGCAGAGCTTACCAGCAGGATTTCACCAAGCTGAGAAGGGGAGACTACCCTGAAAATGACTCATATCGGTGGACCATAGTGAGTCCTTGGGCAAAATTCTAAACGATGCTTTCAACAAAGGGAGGAGCTCCATTATTAATCTTCTGATTAATAATACATGGGTACTCTGATTGGTGTGCTTGGCCAGGATTTAAGGGAGTTCTGTTTGTAAGTAGTGACAGGGAGCTCACAGACAAACACACCACAGGATCTTGGCATTGGAAGGGGTCTTCATTAAGGGTCAGTGCAGCTTTCTTGCTTTTACAGCTGTGGAACCTGAGGCCCAGAGGGGGAGATGCCTTAGCCAAGGTCCCACAGCAAGATAAAGGTAGTGTGGGCTTTGAAAACAGCATCTTGATATACCCTATGTTCCTCTCACTCACCAGGCTGCCTCCTAAGGCATCAAACCCTTGGAGTCTGCCCTGGACCTGTCCACGTTTAGTTTTTGAGGATAAGAGACTCAGATTACACTGGTTTCCTTTATTCTGAAAAGACAGGCTGAGCAGGTCCTGCTCTGTGGCAGGAACTGGGAACACAGAGGGATAAAGGAAAGGACAGCCCCCTGCAGGACAGGCTCACCTTGGAGGCAAAACCTCAGGGCCCCAGGAAAACAGAAGCATCAAACTCAGAGGAGAAAAATCTACTGAGGGCTGGGGTTGTAGCTCAGTGGTAGAGAGCTTGCCTAGCATGTGTGAGGCACTGGATCCTCAGCACCACATAAAAATAAATTTAAAGATATTATGTCCATCTACAAATTAAAAATTAAAAAAAAAATCTAGCTATGGCGAATGCATCCAGAATCAGAAATTCTAGAAAGCAGCTTCTAGAATTGCATACCCCTGTTAAGTTTCGGTTTTTCAGATTAGAAGTGTTTTTATTTTAAATCTTATTTGGGGAGGGGTGCTTTTCAAAGTTTAGGACCCTGTGGTCTGCTGAGGAGAATGGATCTCAGAGTCAAGGATAGCACAGGTCAGCCACACCTGCTGAAGTGAGGGCCCAGAGGTGCTGCAGGCCACTTGGAGTGGCCAGATGTTGCTGATGAGGCCACACAGAGGCAAAGAGGCTGGGCATCCCCCAGGTGGGGGAAGAGGGCATCGGGCCCAAGGCTAAGGCCACCTTCTGCCCAGCTCCTGCCCCAGTCCCCTGCCCTGCCCCAGGAAAGTGGAAAAACTCCCTGTGAGGCAGTCCCTGAATGTACTTGTAGCTTTGGAGAGCAGAACGTGGGTGTTTATAATCCAGAAGGAAGAAGAAAGCCCCACAATCATCTCTGCACCCTGCTAATTGGGGGTATATGTGCGCCCCTCGTGGTTTACCTGCTTCCTATGTGTCTCTGAACACAGGCTTGGATACCTGGGGCAACTGGCTTTAGGTGGGTATGGGTGAAGTAGGGTTGATTTTAATTAATTAATTAATTAATTATATCATACTGGGGATTGAGCCCAGGGGTGCTCTACTACTGAGCTATATCCCTAACCTTTTAAATTTTTATTTATTTTATTTTTGGTATCAGGAATTGAACCCAGGGATGCTACTAAACCAAATCCCCAACCCCCTTTTTTTTTTTTAAATGTTTTATTTTGAGACAGGGTCTCACCAACTTGTTTTGGGCCTTGCTAAGTTGCTGAGGCTGACTTTGAACTTGCAATCCTCCTTCCTTAAGCTCCCAAGTAGCTGGAATTATAGGTGTGCACCACTATGCTCAACTTATTTTGAAAGCAGTGTGTCTGCCTTGAAGTGTAAGGATTTGCCCTTGAAGGTGCCCTGGTTGTAGTTTTTGACACATTTCTTGGGAACAGTGTGGCATTGGTCCAGAGTATAGGCTGTACTTTGTCACATACTTGTCCTGTGATCCTGGACATGTCAATTCTGGCCCTTAGCTAACATGTCTGTAAAATGAGGGGCAGTGCTGCTGGGATCCTGTGAGTCTCTGTGTGCCTCCAGGGCTCCATGTCTGCTGGACTCTCCGGTGCTCTTCTCCCTACAGGAGGGGAACACAGCCCTTCACCTGGCTGCTAGCCAGGGCCACGTGGCTGTGTTGCAGCGCCTTGTGGACATCGGGCTGGACCTGGAGGAGCAGAATGTGGTGAGTCACCACCTGGGGGATGCAGAGATGTGGGATACTCACTGGCTTCCTACCTTTGAGGAACCCCAGCCTGTAGAGCAGGCTATTTCCTCCTGGTTGAGGCCCTGAAGCCTGGAAGCTGAGTGTAGGTTCTCAGAAAAACGCCAATTATGAAAAGATAAACCGAATCCAGAATCCAGGCTGGGTGGAAGCAAGGCATGATGGGCTACCATGACTTCCTTGTGTGTTCCACAGGGGGGACGTTGGCTAGGATGGTCAGGGAGGACTTCCTGGCTTGAGTGGGAGGAAATAGACGAAGCTGGGGCTGCGATGGCTTGAAGGGTGAGAGAACCTGAAGAGAGATGTGGAGCAGAGAACTGAGGTGCCCCGTCCATGCTTCACACAGTGAGAATATCAGATGCAGGCTCAGATGCCACAAATGGCCAAGACCCTCGTCCTCAGTAGTGGGTGGTGGAGCACCCACGGGGCCTAGGAGCCATGGCACAGGGTTGTCACCTTGGGGTCTGGCCTCAGCCTCCCCACCATCCTCACCCACCTTGTGTGTTTCAGGAAGGTCTGACGGCTCTGCATGCGGCTGCTGAAGGAGTGCACCCCGACTGTGTGCAGCTGCTCCTCAGGGCCGGGAGTGACGTGAACGCCCTCACCCAGGTAGTCAGGTCTCCTGATGTCTGCCCTCAGCCCCCCGCAGGTTGTGAGATGCAG